AGAGAGAGAGAGAGAGATATATATGAGACTCAATTAGAAGTAATTAGTCCTCATAAGTCATGGTAATTATTTTGTCAATAGTAACATTTATCAATATGTTGATTGCTTAATTTCTGTGTGCCCAAAACAACACGCGTGTGGCGATCACACGTGTCGACAGCCAAGAGAGGATAACTACTGCTTTTGGCCACAGGTGCCACACGTGTTGCAATCTGTCTGACCCTGCCCTTCTAGAGAGCCTGTGCATGTTATACCCATATTTGGTACCCCTATTTTTGGGCCTTTTTGGCCTTCAAATACCTACCCCCCCCCCCTAGCCCAATTTGCCATCTCACTCTCTCTCTCTCTAACTCGTCTCTCCATTTCTCTCTCTAGCTCTCCCTCTCCCTCTCCCTCTCCTCTACCCTCTCTTTACTTTCTCTCTCTAGATTTGCTCCTCCCTTTATGGCTCGGACGGTTGATCCGTTGGTCGTTGGCAAGGTGATTGGAGATGTGATGGACATGTTCATGCCTAGTGTTAGGTTTGTTGTTCACTATGGTCCTAAACAAGTCACTAATGGTTGTGACATCAAGCCTTCTATCACCGTTCACCCTCCAAATGTCCAAATTGCTGGTCATCCTGACAATCTCTTTACCATTGTAAACTCTCTCTCTAAAATATCTTTCTTCTTATAACTTTCTCTCTCTAAATCTGTACGTGAAGTTCTACAACTTGATGGTGCTAATGTCTTTGCAGGTGATGACAGACCCTGATGCACCTAGCCCAAGTGAGCCAAGCATGAGAGAATGGGTCCACTGGTAATCGATGAGTTTTTTTTTTTCTCCTCTCTCTCTCTCTATGATCTATGCATTTCTTCGATGTGGTCTTTGTTTTTGTTTAAATCTTGGTGGTTTTTTTTAACATAGATTCATAGCCTCTCTCCTATTTTATTTCCTTTTCCATATATTTCAGTGTTGGGGAGTGAGATCTCATGAAAAGAACCTTATTCGTATACTGACCATACTTGCTTCATGTGGGGTTATGAATTTTCAGGATTGTCACCAATATTCCTGGTGGCTCTGATCCCTCTCAAGGTGCTCTCTCTCTCTCTTGCATGTGCACCAGTTTCAATTCACACTTAGATCTCTTCTCTCTGTTCCAATCTCTCTCACACACGCATGATAGTTGCATGTCCTCTCTCTCTCTCTCTAGATCGTTGCATGTCTACTAGTTTTAGTAGGAGAGAGATGGTTGCTTTCTCTCTCTTCCGACTTCCGTCATACATACACAAACAAAAGATAGTTGCATATCACCTCTCGCATGCATGCATGCACATAAGCTTCTCTCTCTTAGATGCACACGCACATTAACTAACTGCATCTTCTCTCTCTCTCTCTCTCACACACACACACACACAATTTGGTTGCATCTTTACTCTCTCTCTGCATCACTACATAATCTTCCTCTATTGCATGGAGTTGTTTGCATGATCACATAATCCCCCAACTAGATGCATCTCCTTCTACTTTTTTTGTTTCTTCACTGATAAAATATCATTAAAACTCAGGGAAAAAGCCAAACATAACTTCTCTCTGTCCCTTTAACATAAACAGTTTTCTTAGCTACATCTCTTGAACTCGAGGAAACCACCCATAAACTCTCTCTCTCTAGATTTCTCTCTTGACTTACATGAACGGTTTCTCTCTCTAAAAGCCACCCATAAACTCTCTCTAAAATATATAAAAATTCTCTCTCTAACAGATATAAAAAAAAAATGTTTGTTTTGTTTTGATTTGAATAATCAGGAAGGGAGATTCTCCCATACATTGCCCCTCGGCCCCCAATTGGCATCCACAGGTTCATCTTCGTGCTCTTCAAGCAGCAAACTCCTCTCTCTCTCGTCGCCCACCCCCTCCCCTCCACACGTGCCAACTTCAGCACGCGTGCCTTCGCCGCTCATAACGGCCTCGGCCTCCCTGTTGCCGCCGTCTATTTTAACGCCCAAAAGGAGCCCGCCAACAAGAAGCGCTGAGCCTCCTCCGCCCGCCACGTGTCTCTGCCGTTAACCTCCGTCTCACCGCATAAATAAATTTCAACAGAATCTATATACTCGCTAGGGCCGTTATCTCGGGTCTTTTTCGCCGTTTTTTGTGTTGGAAATAACGGTAGGGGCATGGTTGGTATTTTGTGTTTTTCAAGTTGTGGGCTCAGCTTTAAGTTCCTTACTGTTATTATGAAGAATGAAATGTGAATGTGATAAAATATTATTGCAATTTCTATTTTGTTTGGTTTCTTTATTTGTGGGGTGATTGTGTTGTTTTGTGCATGTGTTATTATTGGGTGGTGCCGTTACTTTGTGGTCTCTTTGAAAAATTGACAAGTGTGCGAGTGTGTGTGTGTGTGTGGAATTGAGGGTAATA